CAAATCTAATTCCTCTCAGGTCCACTCCTGCTAATTTAGCGTTAACGCCTCGGCCCCGTCTCCTCCTCCTCCCTCGCCTCGCTGCAGTTCTTCTGTCTGGAATGAAATTCAAGAGTAATTTTAAAATCTCCTCCTGAATCAAATCTAATTTTTCTCACCGTCTCTCGGTCTAATGTGTGTTTAAAAAGATTTCCTCCTCTCACTCATCTGTGAGTCCCAGGAAATGGTGAGACTGAAGGAGGAATCTTCGGCATTTAGTGACAAAAAAAAACAACCTCTTTAGTATTTTTTATGTAATTGATACGTATCATTTAGCTTAATTTCTCAGGTTAATTTCATATCAACATTTTAAAGATAGAACTAGTTGAAATTCCATCTGTAATCTCTTGACACCAATTTTTGGCGGTGAATTGCATTTGCCCACACTCTGCCCATCTCTCGGGTTTCTCATTTTGTCTTTGGCACACTTTATTTCTCTGTCTCACCTCTCTCCCATCCTCCACGTGTTGCCAAGGCTGCGAGACGGTGGCTCAGAGAAAATGTCCCTTCGTATCAAAGAGACTGCAGGGTTTCGAGTGGAAACAGCCGAAAGGAGGAAAAGGTCAACTTGAAAATGGAGCCGAGGGCCGAGGGCTGAGCTGTGGAGAGCGGCGATTAACAGCAGAGAGGCGACAGAAACCGAAACTGAACTGTCCTTTTAGCTTTTCTCTTTAAAATATTCATTTCCTCCTTTTTCCTTAAATCGGTGTCACTGTTTCAACATGTCATAAATGAGTATATTTAAATTGATGGAAGCGCAAATAATGTCCAAAACAGATGATATCAAAGCTAATCTGTAACTCCGAAATGATGACACAGGCACGGCTTCTTCGTTTATAACGGGCGTTTTAATGAATGCTGTGAAAACTGTAGAAGTAAAACACAAAGACTTTAGGTACTTTAATATGGAAGCCCATTTTCGTCATGAAAGAAAAAATAGAAGCCCAACAGGAAGTCATAATTTTGAGTTTTAAAGTTATAATTATGAGAATAAAATTTATAATGTCGACTTTTAAAGTCATAATTTTGACTTTTAACATCATAATTATGAGAATAAAAGTCATAATTTTGACTTTTAAAGTCATAATTTTGACTTTTAAAGTCCTAATTTCAAGTTTTAGTCATAATTATGAGAATAAAAGTCATAATTTCGAGTTTTAAAGTCATAATTTCGACTTTTATAATTTAATTTTGAAGTTTGTCCCTTGTCGGACACCCTGACTCTACAGGGACACAACTTCCTGTGAGACACTGGTAGTTTTCCTGCATAGCACATTGATTCGTTCATTCAGTCTGTCCCTCTGCCTTTGTCAGTCCTTTTAAATAAAGGTATGTAATGTATACATCTTTTCATCACCACTTTATATAGCATTTAGTATCAAAGCCCATTTTCGCTATGAAATAAATACCCAACAGGAAGTCATAACTGAGTTTTAAAGTCATAATTATGACTTTAAAAGTCGAAATTATGACTTTTATTCTCATAATTATGACTTTAAAACTCATAATTATGACTTTTATTCTCGTACTTATGACTTTAAAACTCAAAATTTTTATGTTTATTCTCATAATTATGACTTTTATTCTCATAATTATGACTTTAAAACTCGAAATTATGACTTTAAAAGTCGAAATTATGACTTCCTGTTGGGCTTTTATTTTTTTCTTTCATGGCGGAAATGGGCTTCCATCCTTTACTGAGTGACAAGTGAAATGTGCTTTATCAAAGGTCTACCTCGTGGCCGCTCGTCATTTATAATAAATATGCACAAACGTGTCTAAAGTCACTCGTTGTCATGAGTATATTTCTAAAGATAACATATGAAAAACACAATAATTTACAGAAAACTGCATTTTAAGGAGCAGAAATGGGGAAAAAAGAAAAGAAACAACTGAACATGACGCTTCAAACCTTAGTGGAATCGCCTTTTGACCATTTCCCAAATCGGAAGCTGCAAATGGAAGCCAACTTCAGCTTCATGTTTAATTTATTATTTTTGTTATTATTATTATTATTTCACAATTTTAAGATAGCAATGTTGTACGTATATTAAAACAATTTTTATTACAGTTGTCTTCAACGTCAACCACTGAAACACAAACCGTTGTCATCACATCAGATGCAGTAGTACAGTGGCCAGAAGCTGTATTTTATCCAATAAAAATGGACCACATTTATGCAGACAGGTCGC